CGGTTCGTCTCTACTTCGTCTTCTCGTTATAGTTATATATATATATATATATATCCCCTCCTCTCTCTCTCACACACACACACACACAAACTTTTTTCGCTTGCTCTGCAACTACGCGTACGTTGCGTAGCGCCCCGTTGGAGCTGCGGCGGCCAGTTGCTGCGTTGCGGCTGCTTTTCTGCGGGCTGACGTGCCCTCGGCAGAGACAATTAGCGGCCACTTTGCGTGCGCTTTGCCTTTTCCTCCACGTGTCGGTGCACGCCACCTGCTGACGCGCCTGGTGGAAATACGTTTAATCCATTTTTGTTTCTTCTTGTGCTGCGTGCGTGTGCGTTTTCCTTCTGATTTATGCGTCTTCTTTCTCCTTCCTCGCCGCTCTTTGTCCCTCCCCTCGGCGTGCGACTTGGTTCGCGCAGCTTGCGGGTGCCGCGAAATCCACCCGCAAACGAAGGAGCGGGTGAAAGTCCCGACGTTGAGGAAACGGTGGGCAGAGGAGAGAGCGAGAGTAAAGTGGGCGAATAAAAAGAAGAAGAGGCGGGGGGGGTAGGGGTAACACACACATTAAAAAAAAGAAAGTGGGAGACTCGTGGGACAAAGCCGAAGCAGCTGCAGCCAAAAAGCGAGTGAGAAAAGGAGAGAGAGAGAGCGAGAAAGAGAGGGAAGGGCAGTAAAGGAGTGATAGAGCGGGGCGGTGCCCCCCTCCCCCCCTCTTCAACATTTAGGGAGCCGCTTGTTTGGCACTTGGCCGCCCTCGCCGCAGGAAGTAGGGTGCTGCGTGGTGGGTTGGCGGCAGTGCACCCCCAGCTTTCACAGCAGCCGAGGCTGAGCGCGGGCGGTATGCCGGTGACCAACGAATTCACGGGATCCTCGCTCCTGGAGGATGAGGCGGTGGTGCTAAAGGACTACGCCGTTGGCCAGCGCCTTGGCGAGGGCAGTTTTGGCTCCGTCTATCACGTGACATACGTCCCGTCTGGCGAGTCATTTGCGCTGAAGATTCTGCCGAACGACTGCTTCTTCGGCTGTGCCGCACGGATTGTACAGGAGGCAACAGTCATGCAGTCGCTTGAGCATCCGCATGTGGTGAAGATGTACAAGTTCCTGCAGAGCACCTCCTCCTTTTACTTTTTGCTGGAGTTGGCGGAGGGGGGTGAGCTGTTTGACCTCATTATCTCCGAAACGTACTTCTCGGAGGAGAATGCGCGGCGGTACTTTCAGCAGCTCATCTCCGCCCTTGACTACTGCCACGGAAAAGGTGTGGCCCACGGGGACTTAAAGGCGGAGAACCTGCTGCTTGGGAAGAACAAGAGCTTGCTTGTGTGTGACTTTGGCTTCTCCAGCCGCCCCGAGCTCGAGGAGCTCGACGACGAGGACATGAGTGAGCAGGGAGGGGAGCTGCATCCGGCTGGGACGATGCACTACAACTCCCCCGAGTCCTTCTCGGACCCCGAAAGCCCCGCCGCACAGGATCCCTTTCTGCAGGACCTATGGAGTGCGGGGGTCATTCTGTTTTTTATGCTCACCGGACGTCTACCTTTTGACGGCCGCAACGATGAAGAGACCATGCACCTTATTGGAGGCGGGAAGGTCAGTCTTCAGGAAGAGGAGGAGCGACGCCTGAGTCCAAGCGCCAAGTCAATTTTGTTCTCTATGCTCGCCCACGAGCCAAACGACCGTCCGACGCTGCAGCAAATCATTGAGGATGAGTGGTTTGGCGAAAGCTTTGATGCCGCGCTCTTTCCCCACCGCAAGTTCCTCAGGAGGTCCGTCACGTTCCTTGACTTCTCGCAGAAGCATGTCGTGACCCGCGAGGAGGAGGACGCGTTGCGGGCGGCGTTTGACAAAATTGCCATTGACGGCTACGACGACATCACGCGTGACGAAATTCGGGACATGCTTGCCACCCTGCACGGGGGCCGGGTGGACGCGGAGGATGTCGCGGAGCTGATGCAGCTCCTCACCGGAGACGCCGCGAGTGAGTCCGTGACCTATAAGCAGTTTCGTGAGGCGTGGGTCAAGAAGGACCTCGGGAGGCAGGCCTTTCGGGCCAATAACGACTTCCAGTTGTTGAAAATCATGGATACGCAGACGGTGGTGGCGGAAAAGAAGGAGGTGCGGCAGCTGCGCTCTGCCTTTGACAGCATGGATGAGCTTCACACCGGAGCGATCACGGTGGATCAATGTAGGCGGCTGTTTGAGCGCCGCAGGATTAGCGCGACCGCGGAGGATATCCAGAGCCTCATACGCTTCTTTGACGAGCCCAACAGCTCCGGCGGCGGGGGCATTACATTTGATAAGTTTGTGAAGGGAGTGATGAAGCGCGAGGTGCTCGTGCGGCACCCGATGGGGAAAAAACTCGCCGATGCCACCAATCTGTCGGAGATGCTGCAGCTGCACAACGAGTACGAGTGCGTGAATCATGGCTTCTTTGTGGCCGGGGAGCAAGACGCCATAGCGGAGAAGCTGCGCAGCTGCCCAGAGCGCCTTGTGACGATACTCATCGACGACCTCGCGTCGAGGACGGCCACCGTGCACTCGTTTCGCTACCGCGGCTCCGCCGCGATGGAGTCCGGCATCTCGATGGAGGCCGCCATGCGCTCCCTGCTGTCCTCCACCACCGAGGCGGCGGACGTGGGGGGGATGGGCCTCTCCACGGGGGACTGCCCGCTGGGCCTCGTTCGGGCCCGCGGCTCGTGGCCCCCCTCCCTCTCGAAGTCGCTACCGCGCAATTCGCTCCTCAGTACCCCCAACGGCGCGCAGGTCGTCAACCACCCACCATTGCAGTTTATGGACCCCACGACGCAGGCGGTGGCGCTGCAGACGCGCCGCAAATTTTTTCGTGACCCCGGCGGCGGCAAACTGCTGGTTGGCGTGTGCGACGTCGATGTGATTATGGCCTCGGCGAGCCGCGGCTACACCCTTGTGCGTCTCCGCCGCATTCAAGGCCAAACCAGCGACTTTCACGAGGCGGTGGCGTACATCTCCAACCTGCTCAAGGCGGAGCGGGAGCAGGCCATGAAAGACACCCTTCCATGCGGCGAGAGCGAGCTGCTGTGAGGGCGTCAAGGCGGAACCACCACCCGGGACGCCTCCGCACTCTCTCTCTGTCTCTGCCTCTCTCACACGCACACACACACACTTGCGCACTTGCACACACTTACACACAGAGAGAGACGCAAAGAAAAGGACGAGGATCTGAAAAGGGGGGAAAGAAAAAGCGAGACCGAAATGAATATTTAAAAAAAACAAGCAAGGGGGGAGAAAATCTGTTTTTCCTCGTAACATAATGCAAGTAGGCGAGAGAAAAAAAGGAGGAAAGAGGAAGGGGACGAGAGACGAGCATATAAATACATATAGATATATGTATTTATTTTCACTCTTGCGCTCTTTCTCTGAGGCTGGTTGTAAGGATGACGATAATAAGGCAGTTTTGTTTTTAAGCACGAAAGCCACGTTCTGGAGGGGTGTGGCATGAGAGACTGTGGAGATAAAGGAGAGGGCGCTCGGCCCACGCAAGCGCAGGCGTCTCCGTGCACACATCTACGCAACGAATACGAGGTAGTTTATGGGATGGGTGGGGCCTGGGAGCGGCGACGGTGATGAAGTGTGAGGGCAGAAGGCCCGCAAACAACGAGGGGGGAAGTGGTTGCAGTGTTCCCAGCCAGAAATGACATGGTTGCGCCACTTGCTTGCCGGGCGTGGGATGCATCGCCCAGACGCCGAACTCAGAGGTGGGGTGAACGCGGAGCCTGGGGGAGAGTGGCGGGACGCCCACGCATGCGTAGCTGTTGATATACAATGACTATTCCGGGGTGGTCTGACATGCAGCAGCGGTGTGTGAAGAAGGATTTTTTTGGTTTCTTTTTCTTTTTTTTCCTGCGGTGGGTCAAGTGTGTATTTTACATGCTAGCTATGTTTACGTGGGCCAATAAAAAAGGAGAAGCAAGAGGAGGATAACGTTTCTCTCTGCGCGCGTGTGTGTGTGTGAGTGGGAGAGAGAGAGAGAGAGGGAGATCGGGTGGGTGTCGGCGTGCGCGGATGTGGGCGAGGAGGCGGAATATGAGGCGGATATCGTCGTTGTGGTGTTTCATTTTTTGTGTGTGAATTGGTGCATCTGCGTGCACGCGTCACAACACCAAGTCGGCGAGGGAAAAGCGGAGCCGAGGCGTGCAACGGACCGAGAGTATATATGTTGTGCAATGGCTTCTCTTTGCTTTGGCGTCGCGTAGGCGGCGTGGAATGTTTCTTCCCATTTTCGTTGATGTTGTGGATGGCGGCCTCTTTTGTTTTGCTTTTATTACTCTGTGTGCGTGTGAGGAGCCACGTATGTCTGTCAGGCTGCCGCCGTGTGTACTCTCCGCCCCTACGCACACACACAAACACAAACACAAACACAGGCAAACCACTCCTCTTTCTGTCGTGCCTTTTCTTTGTTTTCAGTGTTCGTTTTTTTTTTTTTGGCGGTTGGTCACTGTTGTTGTTGTTGTTACTCCGCGTGCCTGTCTGCCTTTGCGTGGGTGTGTGCCGGCTCGTGCGTAGGCAGGCGGCGTGAAGGCCACCCCACCCCGCCAGCCCTCCTCTTCCCTCTCTTCTTCGCGTCTTCTTCCGCTTCTCCGCACTCTCACTCTGCCGTGGCGGGAAGGGAGGAGGGCAGGCGCGATGGATACGGCGGCGCTGCAGGCGGTGGTGACGGTCCTCAAGGAGGAGATTGAGCACCACAAACGCCAAGTGAGGCGGCTGCAGCGGGAGAACCGGGTGCTGGTGCGCACCGTACTGCAACTGCAGCAGCAGCAGCAGCGGGGGCTGCTGCACGGCGGCCGGCCGGAGCAGCGGGGGGCCGGCAGCAGCAACGGGGAGGAACGCGAGGGGCATGACGTCAGCGAGGCCGCCCCCCCACAGCCGTCTAGCACGACATCCGCAGTGCCGCACCGATGCTGCTTGCGCTGCGGCGCAGAGCTTCCTTCCTTGGCCGGGTCGCCGCTGCAACGAGGAGCGGCGGGGTCTCCAGGCGATCACTCCCCACTCCCCCTCGAAGGCCGCAGCTTCCACGAAGACGGCCACACGGCGCTGCAGGTGCGCGTGCGGGTGCTGGAAAAGCAGCTGCGGTGTGAACGGCAGCGACGGCAGGCCCAGGCGGAGGAATTTACCGCAGAGCTGGAGCTGCTGCGATTTGCGTTGGACGAAGCTGAGCAGCGCCCCTCACGGCGTCAGCGGCGGCCCACCGACGATGGTGCTGCCCTCCGGCAAGAGTCCCTGCCGCTTTCGCCCACGCCTGGCAACGGCAACGGCAACGGCGACGGTGGTGGTGGTGACAGCACGACCGAGTCAACGCCGGAGTACCACGAGGCTCTCAGCGAGGCCCACGCGGATCGGGATCTGTTCAGCTGCCTCGCGGCGCCCAGCGGGGGCCCCGCCACCCCCGCTTCGCTGGGGCCCGCAGAGCCGGCGGAGGCAGTGGCGGCGTCCGGCGTGCCACAGTGCGCGCTTCCGGCGGCCACCGACGTCGCCGTGTGTGGTGGCGAGGAGCCGCGCAACGGGTCGCCGCAGCCGGGGGGCGCGACGCGGCACCCGAGCACGAGAGACACAGACTGCGTCGCTGGCGGCAGCCCGCGGCGGTTCCTGGCGGCAATGGGCGAAGACAAGTTGCTGTCGCCAACGTCGCAGCTGGAGACCTCGCGGGATGTCTCGACGGCCACCGACACGCCGCGGTGCGAGGACTTTTTGAGTCGCGCCACCTCGCGAATGGAGGGGCGGCGGCAGAGGCTGCGTAATGCGGTGATGCCACGCGCCACTGTGGAGGCCAGTGATGTGGCGGGCGGCGAGCACCGCGATCCCGCGATTAGCCTGGGCGGGAGGCAGCCACAGCTGCACGCGGTGCCGGAGCTTCCACCGAATGCAGAGCCGCTGCCGTCGCCGTCCCCATCCCCGCCTCCGTCCTCGCCGCTAACTTCCCTGGGGCGACGGGGGCAGCGGCACCTGGCGCACAGGCGCCCCGCCTCCTTCCACGCGCTTCACGGCGATGACGCGGTCGCGGGTCACTGCAAAAGCACCGCATCAACAACAAGTGCGGCTGGTGGTCCGCTGGCCGTGAACCCGAACCAGTTGGGAGTTGAGGTGGATCCAAAAGGGCCTCGCAACCGCACGTGGTATGCGCATCAAGTCCTCCGCGTGGCATTTACGAAGTTCATACATGTCCCTTTTTCGGCATCCTCCGCAGGAACTCCTGCTGCTACTGCTGCTGCAAGCACGGCAATAACACCGAACTCTTTTGAAAGGGTACCGGAGGGGTCGGACATGGAATCCTTCCAAGAAGGAAACCAGCAGCAGCAGTTGCCGCAGCAGCAGCGACAACGCGGTGGGTCGCTCAGCGACAGTCAGTACTCGTCTTTGGAGACGTCAGGCACTTTTGACAGTGAAGAGGAGCTGGAAGACCACACGGAGGTGGGGGCAAGTGGCCCCGCAGACGCTCCTCTGCAGCCACCACCGATTTCCAGCGGGATGTATCGCAGCATTCCCTCCTCCGCAATCCGTCGTGCCATTGATGAGACAGCTCATTTGCGTTTTCGATGTTGTCAAAACCAGCCGCTGCTAGAAACGGTTGCGGAGCCCTTTCCCTCCGTTCTTCCCCCGTTCCACGCGGAGAACACTGACAGCGAACTGGTGGCAAACTTTGCCATGGACGCGGCGTCTCCGAGCAGCTATCGCGAGGACGAGATAGGCCTCACGCTACACTCCCCTGTTCTCTTTAGCCAAATTCGGAGTTTTCTCGGCATGGACGCGGAGGGGTTTCGGGCCTCGCTGGGGGAGAACGCGGTGTGGCGGCAGACGATTTCTCCGGGCAAGAGCGGCACCACACTCATCTTTTTTGGAAACTTTGTCATGAAGAGCCTTAAAAAGGGCGAGTTTAAGTTCCTCCTGGGCCGCTTCCTCAGCAGCTACGTCTCCTTCTGCGAGCGCCACCCGAGCACCCTGCTGCCCCGCTTCTACGCCCTGCTGACCTTCTCCTGGCTGCGGCTGCGCACGTGCAAGCGGTACGTGCTCATGCAGAACGTTTTCTCCACCCGGTACTACATTCATCGCATTTACGATGTGAAGGGGAGCACGGTGGGCCGCTCAACGACAACGGAGACGGCGCCTCGCACCTCGTTTGGGGCTTTGCTTCTGAAGGACAACGACCTTCCTGCTCAGCTCATCATTTGCGGCCCGTTGCAGCGCGCCCACGTGCTCGCACAGTTGCGCTCCGACGTGGGATTTTTGCACTCCCTCAACGTCGTCGACTACAGCTGCTTGATTGGGGTACGCAGCCGCGTCTTTTCCCGCAAGGAAGGTCCCTCTAAGACGATTCTGCTGAAAGAGCGACGTGGAACTTACTGGCAGCAAACGTGTACGTCCGAGGCGATTGGCGTTGGGACGGAGCAGCTGCAGAAGACGGACAATAGTTGCATTCGCAGCTGTGACGGGGGCCTGCTGTCCCTGCCGATTTATGCCGCGGGCGACGACACAACGGCGCGGGAGGATGTGTACTACCTTGGCATCATCGACGTCCTGCAGGAGTACACATCGGCCAAACGGTTTGAAAGCTTTGCAAAAGGGCTCTGGAGCGACCGACGGCAAATCAGCGTTGTGCCGCCAAAGGAGTACGCAGAACGCCTGTACCAAGTTCTGGAGAATGTGACAGTGTAGTCAACTGCCGTTGTGTGGCGTGGGTGGTGGAAGAGAGAAGGGGAGAGGGAAGGGAAGGGGGGGGGGAATGACATCTGACGATGGTGAAGAAGAGAAAAAAAAAGACCTTTGCCCAGCGTGTGCGTGTGTGTGTGAGAGAGAGTTTCTCTCTGTGTGTTGTCGTTTCATTTCTGCTTTTGATTGCTGTGATTGCTGTGATTGCTTCTGCTCGCCTCGTGAATTCCACGTGGGCGCCGATGTAGGCAATGATGTGCGCCACCGTTGCCGCTTGTCGAGGCGGCAGATGAACCTCTGAAACACGAGGAGGTAAACAGTGGGACAATAGAGCGGAAAAGTGTAGAGAGACAATACATTTTCCTTGTTGTTGTTGTTTTTGTTGTTGTTGTTTCCTTTTTTTTTCCTCCATGTATTGTGCCGGCACCGTGGGGGTTTTGTGTGGTTGCTGCCTGCTTTGCTTTTCCTTTCCGCGTTCCCACATCCCTTGTGGCGCCCCCGTTTATTTGCCTCCCCCTTTGCTTGTCTTTTCCTCGCCTCCTCCCTCACCGTTTCCTGGCGCTGTGGATGCCCGTCGCTCCTTTGCCCTGTTTTGTGTTTTTTTTATTGTTCATTTTTTTTTTGACGGGGAATGAAACTTTTCTTCTCCTTTTTTTTGTTTAATGGATAAAAGGTGGGGGAGAAAAACAAACGAAGCAGCACACGAAAAAAAAAAGTGCGGTGGGGAGGGGCATGAGGCGGCATAATGAGCCGAGGCAGGGTTTGCGTGCGGCTGGGTTTCCCTCCGCGAAGGTGGGACGGGCGGAAAGGGGGGCCGGCACGCCGCTCCTCTCCAGCAGCGGCATCTTCTGTGAGCCGGTCACCTCCGTGTACGACAGGGTGCTGGCGCGGGAGGCGCAGCAGCAGCAGCAACAGCAGCAGCAGCAACAGGGGCAGCAAGAGCAGGAACAGCGGCCGGAGGAGACTCGGAAACCGTCGTCGCCAAAGAATGGGCAGCAGCTGCTGGAGGGGTCGGATCCCTGGAGGAGGAGAATGTCAACTCGGCTGGGTGACCCGGTGGTGCCGCTCCAGATGCTTGAGCGCATGCAGCTTGTGTTTACATTGTACGAGTGGCAGCGTCGACGCAAAAGGCGGGCCGTGCCGTCTTTCGATGACGCCAATAAAAGCGAGGAGGAAATGATGAACAACTTCGCTGCCATGGTTCGCTGCAGAGAGCAGGAGTTGGATATGCGGGGGGTTTGCGGGGAGGGTGGGGCGCCGACGCATCCGTCGGGCGGTGACGCTGCTTTAGACGGCACGGTTGCGAGGGGGATTCCGTTCCCTGTGTTTGAGCGGTTCCTTGTGGAGCCCTACTTTGATGCGCTCTTCCCGCCGCCGCCGCCGCCGGTGGCGCGTTCGCCGCGCGCGGTGGATTCGCTCATGGACACGTTGAGTGGGGGCCGAACTCCCTCCCTGGCAACCAAGAGAAACTCGTGGGTTTTTGCCGGTCGCTCACGGACGCAAACGCGGGTTATGTACCAGCGTCGACGCGCGAGCCACGTGGCGGCGGCGGAGAACCTCTTCACCGTGATGGACACCGACGCCGACGGCTTCCTCTCCTGGGACGAGTTCAGTAGCTACATCCTGCAGAGTGGCCAGCGGCTGCTGCTGGCGGGCGAGTACGACATGGGGGCCGCGCGGAAAAAAGACCAGAGCGCAAATAACGTCGCAGGTCGGTGCCTGAACTTTACCCCCACGCCTCTGAACGTGAATCCCTGGCAGCAGCAATTCCCCCTTGTGCGTCATCTGTACCACTCAGAGCCCATCAGTCGGCTTATCTTCGCCAACCGCGGCCGCCGCTACATCACGGCGGCGTGGGACGGGCTTGTGAAGGTGTGGCGCCCCGACCCCCGCCTGGCGGACGCCCACGGCAAGCCTTCCATCGTGCACGAGCGCACAATATTTGCGGCGGGGGCTCCCATCATCGACATGGTGCTGGCCCCCGTCTCTCTCGGGGACGCGGAGGTGCTGGCGGTGGTGGCCATGGACGGAACCGTCACGCTGCTGCGCGTGGGGACGGGCGAGGTGCTCAAAACGTTTATCGGCCGCTGCTCGCTTCCCCCGGACGCGGGGTCGCACCGGCGGCTCACCTTGTCGACGCGCGCGCGACTGAAGGAGTCCCACGTGAAAAACGTCATTGACATGCCGCTCATGGAAGAAGATATCCGGGGCACCGTGGAGGGGAGTGCGGTGGTGCTGCGGCCCGTCTTTAAGGTCCGCGCCTACCGTCGGGAGGCGATTGAGATGTTCTTTGCGGAGGTCTCCCGCTACTTCACAGGGCTGGGCGTGGTGGCCCCGACGTACGAGCACCTCGAGCGCTGCCGCCAGGTTAAGACGGACGTGCTGCTCCACTTTGGGGATAATCCCGGTACGCCAAGGAAGGAGAAGCTGAAGCCGCATTTCGCCGCCTTTGCGTCGGCCGAAGATGATGCGACGGAAGCGACGAAGGACAACGCGGAGGGTGCGACCGCTCGAGACGACTTCCAGGCGGACACGGGTGTCCCGGAAGAAGCACCTGCTGCTGCTGCTGCTGCTGCTGCGGAAACTGGCGAAGCTTCGGCGAGGGCGTCGGCGCAGGCGCCGGAGGTGCGCGAGGTTCAATCCCCGTCGACGGCTTTCCGCCCCTCTTCCTCTCCTTACCAGCGCTCCAGCGGGGGTGATAGTGGGAGCAATAAGTGCTGGTTTGCCCGGTCCGCGGCGTTTGCGTGGTACGAGCGCACAAGCTCTTCCTCCGTCCTCCCCACTGGCGTCTTCCTCCTGCTTGGCTTCGAGACGGGGGTGCTGCAGTTTTACCAGTTGCGCCCGCAGCTGTTCACCATCTCAAACCTCTCCATGACGCGGCTGGAGCTGCCCGCCATGCATGAGCCGGTGCTTACCCTCAAACTCCACCGCGGCAGCATCACAAGCATCCTGGCGAGCGCGTCCCATGACCTGCTCATGACGGCGAGCGACGACGGCACCGTCATTCTGCGGCACCTAAGTCGAATTCACGCACCGTTTCTAACGTTGGGTGACGGGGTGCCGGTGCCCGGGAGACCGCTCCCACTGCACCCGAGTGGGCACTCCAAACGTGTTACGTGCATATGCTGGAACAGCACACGTGGCCTTATTGTCACGGGCGGGGCCGACCGCATTGTTAACTTTTGGACCACCTCCTCGTCACGTCCGCTCTACCGCATTGACCTGCGTGTTTTTTCCACCAGCTCTGGAATCAGTGGGGCCCCGGTTGACGTCTCGTTTCTCCAGCCCCCGCGTCACCCACTGCTGTTGCTAATACTCGACACAAGGCGTACGTTGTACTTCATCGACACCGTCTCGTACCAGTGCTTGCGCATCCTGCGGGACGATGGGCTTACCTCGTTGAGGGCGGGCGAGATGTTGCGTGCCCGCTACGACGCCGTGGATGGTCGCCTCATCCTGGGCGGACGCCACGTGCGGTCTTGGGACATCCGCCAAAAGGATGAATACCCGGACGACTACTGCGGCCATCGGCGCGCCGTTGTCGGGCTCGTATACCAGCGCACCTTTGGCTTCTGGGTAAGCGCCGACGACTCGGTTGTGATTATTTGGAACGCCAAGGTGGTGGATTTGTATGCGGAGCACAGCGACTCTTCGAAGCAGGCCACGGAGGTCGACGGCGACGACGACGCGGCACGAGACCGTCACTCCATCGAAAAACTGGGGGGGAACGGGACGCGTTGGGCGTTGGGAAGCGGCGTGGTGCGGTCCTGGTCCGTGGAGGGCGGGATTTGCTGCCTGGCGGTGGATCAGTCGGAGCTGTCGCACGTGTTTGTCGCGCTCCTGCGGGAGCGGCGCATCGTGGAGTACAACAGCCTCAGCGGCTCCGTGCTGCGCTCCTTCGGCTTTCCCGGGGACTCGGGGGACATATCCTCCCTGGCGTGCGGCGTGTCCACCGGCGGGGCCGCGCTTCTTCGTCCCGTGGCGTTTCTCTGCGGGACGTTTGAGCAGGAGCGGTCGTCGAACGGCACCACCGCCCTCTACGCGCTGGTCTCCGACACCGACGTGCTCGCCGCCGCGGCGCCGATGAGCCGCGTCCACCGCGTCATTGTGACCGCGGGCGTCGGGGTGTCGTGCGCCGTCATTGTGACCGCGCTCGGGCTCGTTGTCGTGGGCCACCGTGGCGGCATCAGCGCGACGCCGGCGGACGAAGCCACCAGTTGCCCCATCGCCTGCACGCGGCTCACGGAGGCGCTGCAGCAGCGACGGCCGGAGTCGAAGTTTGGGACCCCGGCCCTCTCGGAGCCGCACCTCACCACCAGCACCACCACCGCCGCCACCACCACGAGGCCGACGACGACAACAACAATAACGGCGTCGCTCGAGGGGGCGGCAGCTGGCGAGGGGGGCACGCGGCCCGGCAGGGCACACGCATTCGTGTGTCCTGTTTTTCAGCCCCAGCCGCAGGGGAGCGAGCCATGTCGTTCCACGCCGCCGCTTGACCTCGTCGCGCTCCTTCCTGGGCCACTGCTGCAGGATCCCGTGCCACTCACGCGGGAGTACATGCAGCAGCGAGAGCGGTATCTCTTCCGTCCCGAGCGACGCTCCACGACGTCCGCGGGAAACTCGGCGAAGACAACGCCAGAGATTCTCACCAACGCCGAGGAAGAGGATGCCGAGAAGCGGAACAGTAGGAGTGATGCATTGCCGCCGCTACTACTGTTTTCTGACGAGTTCATCGCCGCCTCTCCGGCGTTTGCCGGAAGCTTTGGTCTGCTGCTGCGTGAACAGCTTGCCGCCCTTGGCTACGTCGGACACGTCACGCCCGTAGCTGAAACCGACTACGCCTTCACTGGCAGCGACGACGGCGTCTTGCAGTTGTGGAATCTGCGCACCCTGTCGGAGGTGCTGCGCTTCCGTGCCACCTACGCGCTCGACGCAGTAACCGCGGTGGAGGTTGGCGACGACGCCGCCCACCTCGCCGTGGGGGACGCCAATGGGCACATCCTGTTGCTTGACCTGCGTGGCATTGCGTGGGACTCGGCGACCCCGCTGGAGATGGTGGCGGGCGTTGAGAGTGGCGTGCGTGTGCTCCACCGGTGGCGCGGGCATCGGCAGAATGTCACGTCCGTGCAGTTTGTGCGGCGCGAGAGCGGCATGATGCGTCGCAGCACTGTTCACTCCTACACAGTGCACCAAGGCGTTCCGGCGCGGACGCCTCTCCGCCAGGCTCCGGAGTCCGAGTTCCCTGCAGCTGACAACAGCAGCACGAGGGAGGAGGGGGCGCCGACCCGCAGCGACGGCAACCGTGCGACACGTTTCCTTTGCACCAGTGGGGAGGACAGCTACGTCTACGCTTGGTGCTGGGAGCCGGGGCCGCGTGGGAGAGGCGCTGTGCAGTGCATCGGCTGCTTTGGCGGGGGTGTGGAGGCGCCACCCACCCCGCCGCTTGACAAACTCACGGACTCCGCCTGGCAGGTGTTGGAGGTGGTGCGGAAGGCGTACATTGAGGAGCGTCTGCTGTCGGTCGGCGGGGTCCTCAGCGGGCCCAACGCGGCGGGGGAAATTCACACCGCGGTGCTTGAAATTATGGAAGAAATGCGAGCCGTGAAGGACGCCGTGGTGTTGCCGCAGCGTGGGGCAGCAACGCTGGGGAAGCAGCCGGCGCTGCCGCCAAGCCGCTTGCGGGCACAGCGGCAGAGTCGCGTGCAGTGCGCCGGCGTCGGTGGAATTGGGGCTGCCGGCGAGCCCTGCCCCCCCACGTACGTCTTGGCCTTTGAGGAGGGGCTGTACTACGACCGCGACGTGGTGGAGCTGCTCGAGCGCGTCCTCACGGAGCTGCGGGCGGTGCATAAGCGGCGACAGTCAATGATGCGGGCGTCGATGCACCGCGCGAGCCTTATGGGGCCGAAGCGTGGACGCAGATCCCTTGTGCGCAGCGCCGCGGTCTCTCCGCAGGAGAAATCCCTCACCGCAGAGGAACTGCCCCGGCCGACGATTGCCGCGGGCGCACCAGACACCGCACCTCGTGGCGTCGCTGTGGCCGCGGACTCCGCCACGACCCTGCCCGCCCCCACTGCAGCGGCGTCGCGTGCGCCACCGAGCGTGGCCACGGGGACGCCTTCGCTCACGGGCGTCCCTGTGTCTGACGCACAGGCGCCTCTGCGGGAGCTGCCCCCTGCTGCTGACGCGGCGAAGACACACGTCGGCGACGCCTTCACCTTCCCCAGTTCCAGTAGCTCCAACGTGCTGCAGCCCGCCCTGCCACCCATCCCCGCTTCGCAGGGTTCCCTGGCCAGGGCGCCCACTACTGCCTCGCTGCCGACGAAGCGGCCGGAGTCATCGTTGACGCCGATAAACGAGGAGGACTGGGCTCAGTTGCCCCCGATTACGGTGCACTTTGCCACGCCCTGGCCGCTCCCACGCCTGCGCCGTGCCGGCAGGGCCCCCGCCGAGGCTGGCGCGAGCCGCAACACGGAGGTGGATGGTCTCCCTTTGATCTCCGATATTATTGGCGTCATCAGAAACAAGAGCGACGCCGTGAAGCAACGGCAGTACGGCGTTAAAGTTCTCGTGCGGGAGAAGGCGCGGCGGCGCTCATTTCACTTTGTGCTTCTGAGCCAGATGCAGAAGCACCTGGCGGAGCAGGAGGCGATCGAGGCCAAGGGCGTGAACCCCGAGCAGCTTAGCCTCGCACGGCGAGAGCGGAAAAGGCGGTCCATCGCGTGGGGAACGGCGCGCATCATGCACACACTCATGGCCTGGCAGTCGCCGCGGTTGTCAAGTGCCTCTTCCCGAACGCTTGGGAGCGCCTCGGACGCTGGTCTGAGTCGGCGTGCCTCGGGCGCGGACTCAGCGAGGGTGGATCCGGGAAAGCTGCCGTTTTTTATTCCGCTCTCGCTGGGGACCTCGCAATCCTTCATGCCCAGCAGCAGCCTGAAGCTGGACCAAAACAAAAGCGTGGTCGTGCAGCTGAAGAATGAGATGGAGGCGATGGGTGCGACCCTGCGGGCCACGCTGCATGAGAAGCAAATACTAATGGCACAGGAACGCGCAGCAGCCTCTGGAATCACGACTTCCACGCGGAACAGCCTCATCAGCAGATAGGCGCCTGCTACCACCGGAGCTTTACCCTGAGTCTTGTTGTTGTACTTGTTAATTTCTTTGTCACTGTATTTGCTGTGGTATTTCTCCACAGTAACTCCTTCTGCACCGCGCCATTTTGTCCATGTTTCACACCCACGCGCGCGCACACACGCACACCGTTTATTTCTAGTGTCCTCCTCACGGAGGGCTGCCGTGGCCCACTCTCTTAACTCTTCCTCTTCCTCTTTTTCGATGCGGGTGGCTTGGCGTCTCTGTTTCATACATGCCTCCGTGTGTATGTGGTGTTTCTTTCGCTGCTTCGTTTGTTGTTGATGTTTGTGTTGATGCGCTGGAGCCATTTGAGACGTTGGGCCTCAGGGTCTGTCTGCCTGTGTGTGTGTGTGTGTGCCCCGCAGCTGTGCGGTGCCACAGTTGTCAATTTATACGGATGTAAAAAAAGTCAGTTTCTCGTTGTTTCTATTCGCGTCTATTCCTTCACCCTTAGCCTCACCGCGTGTGTTATGTATCTACGGCAGTGTGTGGGGGATGACGTGTTGGCTGCGCTCGCACTCCCCCTTTTTCGTTCTTCCTTTTTTTCCCCTTTCCCCTCGTGTGTGTGTGTGTGTGTGTGTGTGTGTATTTCTTTATATGTTTATATCTTACTTCGTTTGGCCGTCCTGCGTCTTCGCTGCCTCCGCCGTGCGTCTCGGCCCGCGTCGCACTTTGCAGCCCCCTCGCCTTGGCGGCACTCTTCCCTCACTTTTTCGCTCTGTCCTCCCCGCGGCGGCGGAAGGAGGGCCTGAAGGCGGGAGCCGCAGGTGCACACACGCAGCGGAGCGGCCGGGGCTTAAGGGGGGAGCGGGGGGGGGGGGCGGCCGCAGAGGCGCGTCTCACGAACAAACAAACAAACAAACAAAAACAAGACAAAAAGGAACGGAAAGGAAAAAGAAAAAAGAAAGCGAGGAAAGAGAAGAAGAAGTGAAGCTTCATACATCCACGCACACGCATATACACACGCGGGACTGGCAATGAACCGGCTGTTCGGTAAGAAAAAAGACACCCCGAAGCCCACGTTGGAGGACGCCAGCGTCCGGCTTAACACGCGTAGTGAGGCGGTGGACGCCCGGGTGGGCAAAATCGACGCCGAGCTCACGAAGCTGAAGGAATGCATTCTCAAGACACGTGGGGCAACCCAGCAGCGGTACAAGCAGCGCGCGGTGCAGCTGCTGCAGCAGAAGCGCCTGTACCAGAACCAGCAGGACACGATGATGCAGCAGCAGTTCAACATGGACCAGCTGCAGTTCACGACGGAGTCGGTGAAGGACACAAAGGTGCAGCTGGACGCACTGAAGGATGCGACGAAGAGCCTCAAACGTGAGTTCAAGCGGGTGGATCTATCAAAGATTGAAAACCTGCAGGACGAGCTGCGTGACATTTACGAGGACACGCAGGAGGTGCAGGAGATACTCGGCCGCGCCTACGATGTGCCGGAGGACATTGACGAGGACGAGATGATGGGGGAGCTGGACGCAATTGCCTGCGACATGGAGGCGGAGACGGACTCCAGCTACCTCGCCGCCGCCCTCGCCAGGCCAGGGACGAAGCTGCCGGAGCTGCCCGGAACAGAGAAGCCGCAGGCGGAGGAGGAGGAGAAGAAGGAGAAGGTCGACCCGTATAGTCTGGAGGCGCAGCTGGGCCTGTGAATAGAAAAAAAAGAAAAGAAACGAAAGCGGAAGAAACAAACTAAGAAAAAAAGAGTTACGAAAGGTGGAAGCACGAGTCGCGGAATGCATTGGAAGCGTTTCCTGTGGGAAGTGGGAGGGGTGAGTGGGTTTGGTTTACCCAACACCACCACCACCACCACCGATAGTTCAAGCAGGCAGGCATCGTCACTGCTTCTGCCGCTGCTGCCGCCTTGGAGTGGTGAGGTTGTCGACGAAGTATATTTTATATGTTGTTTCTCGTTGCTGCTCTTTCCTCCTACGGGTATTGGCCGCAATAAGGGAACTCCTTCCTCTTTTTTTTTTGTCTCTCTCTCGATGCCACACTCCGCACCCGTGCGCCTGTTCACCTGCGCTTGTGCAATGCCGTGAGAACTAACGTACCGTCGCCGCCTTCTTTCTCTCGTTGCCGTTGTTGCCGGGTCCCTCTGCGTGCGGCGTAGGCGCTTATAGAGAGAAGGAGGGGGAGGGGGTGGGAATACATACTCTCTTTCTCTCTCTTTCTCGGTCTGTGTGCCTCTGTGTGGGACTGCCGCACAGAATTGGTGCATCATTACAGAGCGAGACACACTTACACACACACCCGAAGCGAGGGGCGAGACTGGCGATGGTGGCGAAGAAGCGGTGGGCGTGGTACCCCCACCTCGCAAAGCGCCGCAGGCAAAAGTTGGCGGCAGCGGCAGCGAAAGCGTCTCCAAATAATGTTGGCTTGCCTGGCAAGACGCGCGCTGCGGAGGCAGCTGCGAGGAGCAGGACGACGTCGCCTTTACCGGCGGCCGTAGAGGATAGCGAGGCGGCACGCCCCGAGTGCAGTCCTCAAGCCGCCGCCACGCCAGGGACGCAGGCGCGTGGCGTGGCGTCCGTGGCATCTCCTGCGGCAGCGCCGCTCCACGCCACGGAGTGCTGCCTGCCGTGCCCTGCGCGGTGGTACCAGCTTGGCCCGCCGCTGCTCGCTCAGCGTGTGCGGGAGTTGCTGCTCGGGCGCCCGTTGATGACGGCTGACCCCGCCGCGGTGTCGATGGGTGCCTCTCTCGCCGACGAGGAGGCGCTCTCGTGGCTGTTCCCCGCGGTGCATAACGGGGAGTGGTTCGCCACACCGTGGGAGTTTATCGATCACTGCCGGTCGATCTCGCATAAGCTGTTGTGCGAGCATGCCCCGCTCTTTCCACTTGAGAGTTCCCGAAACACGCGGAGAAGACGCTCACCGACGCCTCCTGCATCTGGGAGTCGGACGGGATCTTTGGGCGGCACGGAGGCGGCGGTGGCGGCGAATCAGCCGGACCGGGCAGCTCCCGAGAGCGCAGACGCCGTGCAGCAGGCGTATTACTGGTGGTTTACGCACCTTCACACCACTCTGGTGCAGTTTGGCCAGCGCGATTGGGACGCCTACATGGCGTCAAGGGGAAATGCGGCGAAGCCGCGGCGTCTGGAGTGTATCGGGGGAGTTTGGGGCTGTTATCGTGTCTTTCAAGCGGCCTTGGCGGACGCCGTGGCGCGGCGCCTGGCATCCTCCTCGCAGCTTGTATGGCAGGCATTGCCCGAGACGGCGTTCGCCATGGCGTGCATCGTCCTGGAGGTGTACCAGCGCATGCCACACGCCGCGGCGCCTCTGCACGGCTTCCGTGGGTTAGGCGCCGCCGACCGTGTGGCTGCTGCATGCATGCATGGGGACCAGTTCCTGTGGGTGAACGATGACCCCACCACGGACGCCACCACCGCGGCCGCCATGGCGAGCGCAAAGGGGGAAGCCGCGCTGACCGGGCGTGAGCGGGAGGCAGTCATAGCCCTCGCCGTGCACCTGGCAGAGGTAGTAACGGGCATGCGGCACGCGGGGAGGGGCAGTGGACCATGCGCGGCTGTGGATGTCGCGGCTGCCACCGTGGAGCCGGCGCCAACCTCAGCGGCACCGGGTACCGCTTCAGCACCCGGTCTTTCCCCGCACCTGAGCCTACCCGCGCACGGCACTGCGGAGGAGGAGGAGGAGGAAAGAATTATGGCGCTTGTGTTGTGGTTGTACCTCGCCCACGCCGCAGTGCGCACACTTCCGCAGGCTGCGGTCTAACCACGAACTCACACACGGGGAGTGAAGATGACACCTCCACCACTGCAATGCATGCATAAATAGTTGCCTACAGTAACTCGCCTCTATAATTTTACTTTTCATTGCGTAATGTTATGGGTTGTTTGCACCGCATGCCCCGCGTTTGGATTCTGTGCGTGTGGCGCGGCAGCACTCCACTCCCTTGACAGACACACACCGGCACAGAAACAGAGCGAGGGTGTGTGTCTGTCTGTCTGTTTGTCTGTCTGTCTGCGTGCGTGCGTGAGAGAAAGAGAGAGAGGGAGAGGGAAGTGGAGGTGGGGGGAAGGGGGAGGGGGAGGGGGATACGCAGTATTGATTGATGGCCTGGCTGCGCTGCCAGTGTGCATGCGGTTACGCCCGGGTCGAGGTGTGGGGCAACACCAAAGGAATGAAGAAGGAAAAAAAAAAGAACGGCTAAAATACATGCATGGAGCTCATGGCATTCTTCCTTCTCTTCTTCTTGCCTTTTACTCCTCCTCTTTTTTTTTCTTCTTGTCTGTGTTACTTGTCACCCACGCGTTGGCTCTGCGCCGGCGCCAGAAACCGGAGGAAGAAAGCAGCAGCAGCAGCAGCAGCAGCAGAGAGAGTGCAATGGTCAAGCCGCACCTTCGCCACTACTGCGTCGTCGGCCGCGAGACGCCGTCGGAGAAGAACCCCGAGCCGACCGTCTACAAGTTTGAGGTCTTTGCGCCCAACTTCGTCGTCGCCAAGAGCCGCTTCTGGCGCATGATGCGGAGCAAGAACAAGGTGAAGTCGACCCACGGCGACGTGCTCTCCTGCAAGGTGGTGAAGGACCGCAAGCTGGCGGCGCGCAACTACAGCGTCGACATCGCGTACTACAGCCAGCGCTGCGGCTACACGCACATGGTGAAGGAGTTCCGCGACGTCTGCAAGGCGGGGCGTGAGCCAGGCCTACCACGACCTCGCCTCCCGCCACCGGGCGCGGTACAGCAACATTGAGGTGCTCGGCGTGAAGAGCATCCCGAACACCAGGTGAAGCGGCTCAGCATCGCGGAGTACCACGCCAGCAACCTGTCCTT